CTTGGTCAGATATAATTTGATACTGTGAACAAAAGGTTCATAATACTTCATGTATGACTGAAGAATTGTGCTGACACCAGATATTGACACAATATTGTGAACTGACTATACCTTAAAAATAAAAATAAAATTTTAAAAAAGGTTCATAATGCTAAAAAGATACATGTCTGTTAATTAATACATGTTATTGTTGTGGACTGAGAATGTAGCACATTCCTACTCATATATATACACACAAATCAGCAACATTAATGTATTCCCACATTTCTAGTCTTCATTGGACTATAGGTCTTATCTAGAGCAGTAAGGCAAGAAAAACACATAAATGGCATAACTATCAATAAGGGAGTAAGAAAGCTTTCTTTTTTCACAAGTAGAATGATTGTATACATAAAAAAGCCTAAGTAACGTACAAAATTACCACAGGAAAATCTGTTTTATTTCTATTTACAAACCAAAAATCTATGAAAAACTAAGCCCAAATTATGTTGTAGTAACAGCAAAATATATACTCTAAAATTACATTTCAAGATTCAAGATTTCCATATTTAATATTTATAAAATACTGCAGAAAGAAATTAACTAAGACTGAAATAAATAGAGAGATATATCATGGACTGAGAGCTATTTATTATCCCTAATTTGTAGATTAAACGCATTCTGAACAAACACGCCACCCAGCATTTTTATAAAAATTGAAAAACGGATTTCAAAATTTATGTAAGAAAGCAAGAATAGGCAAAGTAATCTTTAAAAAGGAGAATTAAATTTGGAAGACTTTCACTATTTCATTTCAGAATTTAATATAAAAGTATATTAAGATATTATGGTACTGAGAAAAGTATAGGTAATTATTCAGTGGAACAGAATAGAGTTCTGAGATGGGCTTACACATATACTGTTGACTTCTTTTCACAAAGATGTGAAATCAATTCAAATGTGAAAACCTGTGTTTTCAACAAATAGCATTAAAATCACTGGATACATTTAAAGAACTAAAAATCAAGAAGAAAAAAATGTGTTGCTGTGCAACAATCTTACATCTATGCTTAAAATCATTCAATGGCTTTTGTTGCTTTTAAAAGAAAGTGTAATCCTGAATTAGACCTCTAAAGTCCTATAGAGAATAGCCCCCAGATCTTTCTGGCCTAATTTCAAGTCATCCTTTCCTTTCTCCTCAATAACCAGACAAAACGGTTTTCAGTTTTATAATGCACATCTCAAAACTTTGGACCTAAAAACACTTTCTCTCGAAGCCCCACCTCTAAATCCCCTACTTTTCCTTTAGGCCTGTTTCAAATGCTATTCCTCTGGGAATATTTTCTTGCCCTTTCTGACCAGGTGAGATTTCTTTGATGTATATTAATGTAGCATCAAGAACCAATTTATAGATCATTATTTAGGATCTGCTTTCTCTGTTAGACTTTCAGTCCAGTTAAAACAAACAGCACACATTTTCTTAATCTATGTTTTCATCGTGGAGTAATACACAAAACAATTTTATGTTAAAACAATATATTTCCATAACAAAGATTCTGGTTCATGGTAAAGGTTCAATGAAAATATCGTAAAAATAATAGTACCGGCAAAATGTTTGACAGTGTATTCTGAGGCGTGATTAATTAAAAGAAAAACGTGTGGGGTCAGGGAGCTGGGAGGATAAGACTGCTCTCTATAATCACTACTGAGACAAATATTAGTTAATAGAAATTGCTGAAATCAAGTGCCTAGAAATGATTCATGAGAGTGCATTTATTCTTGGCAATCAGAACTGGAAACCGATTGGTCGACAGAAAATCAGCAGCTTCTGGAACTTTAGTTGTGTGGGCAGCAGGTTAAGACCCAAACCCCTGGGTTCACAGTTCATCTCTCAAAGGATACAGCAGGAGGAATCTGGAAGCTAGGGAGGCAGGAGTTAAGGGGGCAGAGCACAGCCATCCAAGGAATCTCACAGCAATTAACACCAAAATGGTGGAAGATTCAACTCCCAGTAGGTCTTGAGGATCAAGATGGTGGGATATTTGACTTCTAGCAGACCTCAAATTTTATTATACACTCATTGTAATATATTAGCATGGTGAATAGCATACCCACAGATGCCATGACAGTTCCAAGGCTAACCACAAAAGGTCAAAGAGTGGGTGGTGGCCCAATTCCTAGGAATCCTAGCCCCTTCCCCAGGGTAGTTGGAATGATCCTCCCATTTGTTAGTATATGAAGCTACCAAGCCCATAAAAACCGGCAACTCCACACCTCATGACCACCTCTCTCTCTCTTGTCTTTGGAAATGGCCGGCACTCTGTCTGTGGAGTGTGTACCTACTTTTACTTTAACCTGGGCACCCAACCCCCACACCTCGTGGCCTTTCTCACCCCTTTTAAAACAGCCTACACTCTATGCAGTAAGTATCTGTCTAAATAAATCTATCTTTACTCAGCTGTGGCTTGCTCTTGAATTCCTTCCTTCATGAAGCAAAGGACCCACACTTGGCGGGGCATGTTCCAGGGGCTCACCAGAGACATGGGACATGGCGCTCCTCACGCCCCACATCCATTTTTCCCCTATGTCACTAGAGGCAACTAGATACCAGCCAGATAAATGTCAGGTGGTCTCCTGCTAGTTGTGTAGAATACGATTAGATTGGTGAAATCAGACCCCTGGACTACTCACTATACTATAACTAATTGTTGAAATACAGGAAGAATAAAATCTGTACTCTGGGAAATTTATAATGTGTCAGAGCCTTGGAATGAAGGAAGAAAATGCAGTTTCCTGAGCAGTAATGACAAGACATCAGCTCAGGAGTTATGAATTTCTTATTATAAAATAATATAGTTTTCTTATTTTGACTATCAACCTGAAACGAGGTATTATATTTACCTTCAGGCATACTTGTAGTATTACAAATTCATTGTCCCCACCATTGAAGTCTCCTCTTTGTGAGCATGTCATCATAGTGCTATTTTTATTCAATCAATCTTTGAGTTGTTTCTATAAACCTGCTTGTTTACTAGTTTTGATAGGCAGACTAAAGGCCCCTCAAAGATATTCATAAACTTTGTGAATATTTTACTTTATGTGGCAAGGGTAATGAAGGTAGTAGTTGGAATTACAGTTGCTAATCAGTTGATAAAATAGAGAGATTGCCAGGTGGGCCCAATATAATTAAAAAGCATCCTTCGAAATGGAAGAGACAGGCGGAAGAGAAGGTCAGAGTGATACATTGTAAGAAGGATTTGACCCACCATTGCTGGCTTTGAAGATGGTGGAAGAGGGGCGTGGGTGAAAGAATTCAGGTAGCCATATCCTCTGTAACGACATGCAGCCCTGCCAGCACCATAATTTTAGCCCAATGAGAGTGTCTGACTTTCGTCCTACAGAATGACAGCACATTTTTATTGTTTAAGCCATATGTATGTATATGTGTGTGGCTCATTTGATATCATTTGTTATAGCAATAATAAAAAAATCTAAGACATTAGGACATTCCTATGGTCAGAAAACTTTCCACTCCTGCATCTCAGATTAAGAAGACATTAACAAAGGAGGCATCAGCTTGGCCAAAAAGCTACAGCCACTCCCCGTGAGTGCTCTGCTAGTGCTTGTGTTTCATAGTATGAAACTTGGTTGTTTCTTTTGGTTGGAGATTATGAGCATGAGACCAACTTGGATCATTAAAATTCAAGAGCAGGACTGTTTATAGAGGAGTTTACTGTTTACCATTTGGGTTTTTATAATGCAATGGCTGATGAAACTTCTTCCCAGTTTTTTTCATTGTTACTACATTTTTGCCTCTAACTATGTAAGCACCATAGATATTTCCTAAACATGGGTCAGGAGGACCAGGAGGAAGAGAAGGAGCACATGAGGGAAAAGAAGAGGGAAGGGAGAAAGGTGCAGTTGGATGGAATAAAGTCCTTCTACTCTAAGTGTACGATAACTTGCTGTGAGTCTTGTAAAATTCTATTTAACTCTTCTATGTTTCAGTTTCCACCTCTGTAGTATAAATATGTTGGAAGTGATGAACTGCACAGCTCCTTTTGCATGTTACATTTCCTTACACTGGTAGTAAATGAGGAAATAAAGAGAACATGATGAGAAGACTGAGATATACTTGTTAAGACCAGATTTTTTGCCAAGACTCTCCTACTCTGCATCCCATTTCCTAATTTCAGGGATATTTGAGGATCTTATAAAATAAAGAACAGGAAAAAGTATTTAAACATTACTTGTTCCATATAAAGATTAAGTTTCCAGTTATTATTATACCATCTATGTTAGTATCTTACTTTCTATGACACTCGGTTATAAGATAGAAGAATGGTATAAATAAAGTATTTCCAATTTTGTTTCCATATAAATTGAAACTGTCATTTTCAACGGTATTAAAAGTTTCTTTTCTGCAGTCAGATTCAGTTTACATGTTGGCTAAGAACCCAGGTGCAACTTCACACCTACTGAGCCTAGTTCCTGCCCATCTAAGTGTGTTGCCTGCTTTTTTATACAAATGGTGATAATTTGAGCAGATTGAAAGTAGTAATTGGGGTACAGGGATTTAGTCAATTAAAAAAATGAGAAAATTTCCTGTGTTGTGATTATTTAAAGCTCATAGGTGCTCTTTTTCTAAAAATGTACACCCACACACCAGCCTTCCATCTTAATAACCTTCATGCACAGGCCTCATCATATAAGTCTAAATTTTATTCCTACGTTCTTCAAACCACTCTTATACATAATGTCTTCAGAGATGCATGGTCTGTATTTATTATATAAAGGTATTCAAATCTCTTGAGTTTTCCGTTTAGAGAAAGGCTGTGTCTAGAAACTACAGGCATCCAAGGAAAACTACTGCTTAGGGAAAGAAAAAGAGCTAAGCCCAACCAAAATTAGTGCCTAGCCCCCCAAATCTGAGCTTCCAAAGCCCATTAATAGCAGCAATGATAACGCAAACCTTAGTTGACACATCACTAATAAATAACAACATTAACAGCATATTGGGATAGCAGAATACAGAGTTTATTAAAATTAAACTATTTGGTTTTCCATCTATCTTTGGGAGAAGTGCAAAACAATAAATTCTGTCTGCAATTCAATTTTAATTTCTCATTAATTTTGTAGGTTGACGGAATTCATCTATCAATTAGTGCTTGAGGGCTGGAGAGGTAAAGAGTTGTTGGTGATCAAGGAATTTTAATACTTTTCAACAGAGGAAATTGAGATAATAGATAATAGCACAGAATCTGAATTTCTCAAATGGATTTGGCTCTTCTATGAATTAATCAGTAGAAGCCAGATCTACAAATTGGCCAGTAACAAGATGAACAGAAACTTCTGGAAGGAAAGTTGATTGGGTACCAGAAATTGGACCCATAGCTCAGTGAAGGGGAGCCACAGACTCCATAGCCCAGGGGTCTGAAGCCTCTGGATCCACAACGCAGTGAGTAGCAGCTTCTGGATCCAGAGCTCAGAGAGCTGCAGCTGCTGGACCTAAAGCCCAGAGACACGGGGTAAGTTGTCCAGCAGGGACTGCAGAGCTTGGAGGTCCTCTGGGGGCAGCAGGATGCCTGGCATCTGATAGGCTCACAGCTGGTCTCCTGACAGCCACTGTAGAGAGAGGAATCCCGCTGGCAGGTGCTGGGAGAGCAGAGGTCCGTGGTGTAGACCAGGTTGCTGGGGTAGGAAGAGCCACAGGAGGAGCCTGGGTAGCGCAGGTGGCCCCCAAGGGAGCGGGAGGAGAAGGTTCCAGAGCAGCAGTTGTAGGACATGGTGACAGGAGGTGTGAGTTCGGCTGAGTTACAGTGAGAAGTTTCTGAGTTTGAATGTCACCTCTGGACTGTGGCATTTATGTACTCTCAGCAGTAGGTGTGGTAACTTACGGGGTCATTTTTTGCATATTTGCACTCCCTCATTTACATGTGTGTAACTCAGCAAGTTTCTCTGTAATTGCAATTGAATTGTTTTCCCATATTGTTTTTATGGGAGCTGTAATTTTGGTGTTACAGCCACGGCCAACGAACCAACCTATGTCAGAAATGCTATGACTATTTCACATTAATGCTTACTCCATCCTAGTCAGGAAAACCTCTCCTTTTCCTTTTGTCATAATCTTCGGGTGTCTTGTTTCTGAAAATGATGGGCAGATGCCTTCCTCAAATGGTGGTAAATAAGATAAAATTGTTTTTCTTCTTTGTCAGTGGATAAAAGGCACAGCTTTGGCTTGAATGAGGAACATCCTTAATACAGATCTTACTTGCCACCATGTTTTCTCATTCTTCAAAATTACTGTGCATCTAGTACATTCTATCACATATGTGTCTCAGACACAATGGAAAGGAAAAATGACCAGTTAGGACAAACTGAATATCAGTGATAGCTAGAACCAGAGAGAAACCTAAGCATTTATCTGGAGACATGGTGACAGTGGGAAACAAAGCCAAGACAGAGCTTTAAGTGCAGGCCAGTTTGGGTCCCTTATCAAGAGACTCAAAGAGCTATGTAATATTGAGATGAGGGAAGGAAACAACAGATTTATAGACTCATTGTATATGTACGAGGTCTTGGACCTAACAGACGCTTATCTGTATGTGTAGCAGCCCTGAGAACTTAATTCTCAGATCTTCATCTACAGGAGACTTGATTGACCAAAGGCCCATAGGCTATGGTTCAGAATCTAACACTACACTGGCATGGAAGCCCCCTTTTCCACGGGGCTGCTCCCAGGCAATGAATGAACACAGCAGAGATATTAGTAAAGGCACATTCCTGGGACACAAAGGCTCCTCCGATGGCCAACAACTGAGGATTCTCCAGTGGCTTTGAGGAACCATCCTTAATCCATGTGGCTACATAGCACACTTCCTTCCTCTCTCCTTCACCCTGGTCAGACTTGCCTGGAAGTCAGCCAACTCTCCTAGTCTTCCCTACATCCCCCCTCCCAACTCCTTTCTCTTACAGATGTTTCCCAGTGAAATCCTTGTGCTGTTAATTCCATTTTGCTGTCTGCTCCTTGAGTGACCTGTCCTAACACAGTAAGTCACAGAGTGACTCTTGTCATCCTGCCTCTGTCTCTTCTAGGCCTTGCTGATTTGTCACTAAAAAAAAATCTATCTGGCTTTACTAATTTTCATTTGCTTTTTTATTTTTAGTGGTAAATTTTGCTCTTCTATTATTTTACTCTTTTGCTTAATTTGAGTTGAATGTACTTTCCTATTTTCCCTCCTTAATGTGGACGTGATTTCAGTGATTTTCAGCCACTCTTCGGAAATGCATACATTTAAGGCTAGATAACTTCCCCGGTCAGCACAGTTTAATTTTGGTACTTGGCATTTTATTGTTCTTTCTTCTCTGAGGATGGATCATTTAGAAGCGCAGTGCTTCCTCTCCGAATCCAGAGGGATTTACTGGTTAATTCTGTTGGTCCTGTTGCTATTGCCTCTTAGCTTAAACCACCATGGTCCGCATAGGATCTATTTTGCTAAATGTTCTGTGGGCACTTGAATCAATATTCTGAAATTTTGGCCGCCATGATTTACACAGGTTAATTAGGTCATACTTGCTAATGGTGTTAGTATTTTCTCCGGCCTTACTGATTGTCATCTGTTTGGATCAGAAGTGAAAGAAGAGTGTTAAAATCTCTAGTTTTGTGATTGTGGATTTGTATACGTCTCTTTGTAGGTTGTCATTGTTTGTGTGTGATGTCCTGAGACATTATCTCTTTGTATTAATTGTGTTTGGAATTTGCGATGATTCCTTAATCTGTGTGTCAAAGAATATCCAGATGCGCTTTGTTTTGCATGTTAAACATTCTAAATGCTTACTTGAACGTAAAGGAGATAGGCATTAATCTTCGTTTTTAGGAAACAAAGGCGAGATAAGCTTTATAATACACAGAGAAGTTTCTGTTACAGTAGTTTAAATGGTGATAATGACACAAAGAGTCAAGAAATATAAATGCTGCAGTTGAGGGAATCAGCCTTTCTTTCTGACCCTGTCTCCCATTTCCATACCACGTCCACGTGCCTCACACTTTGGTACATTATGGCCTAAACTCTCCACGTGCCTTCATACCTTCCTGCTTGTCTCATCCCATTTTATCCTCCCAGAACTTAATCCTTTCTATATTTATTGTATCTTTGCTTCTCTAAGTGACACCTCATCCCCAACAGAAGCTGTCAACACCCTGCCTACTCCTCCTGGGTAGTCATCTGTACACTCTGAAAACTGATTACCGGGGGCAGCCGTAAAACTCTGCCTGAAGCCTTTTTCTCCTCACAAGGGCACGCTGAGCCCCTGCTCAGGGAATTCTGTACTAGAACTGACTCCAGTTTTCTACGCTGGAGCCTGGCTGAGTCCTGCCTTCCTTTCACTCCCCATCACATCTTTCCACTCCCCTACAGGACTGTACTGGGATCACCTTCCAAATAAACAACTTGCATTTGAATCCGTGTTCTCAACCTTCGTTTCTAGATAATTTACAGAAAAAAAAAATACTTGGATGCCTCATTGACATGCTTATTGAGAAACTTTCAATGTTTCTCTAACTTATAAAGTTTTAATTTAAAAATTCCTAGGGGAAAAGACCAAGAAAGAGGAAAGTGTGTTTTAGTATTGCATATGGCACATTTAAGAAAAGAAGACATGATATCTTTGTCCAATGAATATATTTTAAGAATACAGGGTTCAAAAGTCATCTAGTCTATGTTGGGTAATAACAAAGGACATATTTTGTGGCTAATAGATAATGATATGTAGTGATTAAAGAGAATTTTAGTATAAGAAGTATTGGCTGTTGTTTACTGAGCTTCAAACCTAGATGATTAATAAAAGATCACCAGCACGTTAGTGCCAGATTTCCTGGTAATTTGAAGAAAAGCAGTAGGCGGGTGCCAAATGTTGTAACTTTCAACTGTGGATGAGATTCTGTTGCAAACACACCTCATATCAAAACCATTTTGTTCATAACATAGTGATGAGACCCTGCAATTAAAAGAACAGAAGCTTGGGATGTACAGCCCAGGGTGATAAATTTTACATGAAATATCTCACTCTTTAATTGTCAACAAATAGTTAAGAAAAAGAACAGCAACAATAATGGTGAAGGTCTATGTTATATAGAACGAACAATATAATCTCTGGGCTAATCTAGTCCAAGGTTGGGCAGTCTACAAATTCTTCTTAAATTTATATTAATTGGTGGTAGATGAAAGTTTGGAGACTAGAGAAAGAGAAGAGAGGAGCATCTCTTGTCAGAGAAGGATCCTTGAAGAAGGACACTGGAGTGACTGAAAACAAATTCACTGGGTTTCCTACTTTTAACTGATAATGTATGCTCCCCTCAAAAGTTTTGTCTTCAAGATAATTTTTTTCCTATTGAAGTGTAATGACAATGGAAGTTGTGTGTGTACATTATATACACACACGCACATACACATACATATAGTACAACGTGATATTTTGCTATAGGTTTATATTGTGAAATGATACCCCAAATCAAATTAATTTGCGTATCCATCAGTTCACATGGTTACAATTCATATGTCTGTGGTGAGAACACAAGACCATTTTGGCAAATATCAAGTACACAAAATAGTATTAATAGAATTACCGACTATGGTTACCATGCCGTACATTAAATTTGCAAAATTTATTCATCCTCCATCATGTACCCTTTGACCAAGATCAAGGTAGTTTTAAAGAGGTGTGTTTGAAACCAGAAAAAGAAAATGGGGAAGGAATAGTGCCCACAGTATTGTATCAATATGACATTTTACATTCTTGCTGAGGCACAAAGCAAAGAGAAATAAATTCTAGTCTTGAAAAGAAAGGACTCACGAAGTAGCTGTTTGAATTGGGTGTATTTACTTCTTTCCTCAGTTGTCTTCCTTTTGGAAGGTTTACATTATGTTACTTTTCAAATTACTAGAGATTTTATTGAGAAAATCCAATATTTTAAACACTATATTGCAAGTTTATTACAGTTTTATTTGAGACTATAGGAAGAAAGTATTGCCATCAACCACAACACTACATTTCCTCGACTCTGGAATATAATGTAACTGGTTGTATTTTCACATTGAATACTTTGTGAATAAACTTAGAAAGTGACTGTTTATACTCTAAGAATATGAGAAATCTAGCAACTCTTTTTTAAAACTTTCAGTTTATGTTTAAGCAGAGGAAAAAATATGTTTACCAAAGCAAAAAATGAAAAACAGAAGAGAAAACCAAAGTTAAACACAGAAAAAGCAAGAAAGAAAAATGATGGGGTTGGGGCAGAAGGAGAAGAAAAAGAGAAAGAGAGAAGGAAACATTCCTATACCCTGCAGACGAAAAGAGAACTGGAAAATAAAGCTTCTCATTTAAGCAGGAAAGTGCAGGTGCTCTGAAAGTGCCGGAAAGTCTTTTCAAAGCCTGTGCAGTGAAAAACTAGAGACATTCTAAGACAATAGAAACCCTGGATATTTATACATGCAGAAGATAAAAAGGATAGCATATCAAAATTCATAAAATATATTGATTTTGAAAATTTTAATTATATAAAGTCAGTATGAAAGAGACCATAATTTTTTCCTAGGGGGAAAAAAAAGACAAAGACATGAAACAGACCATAATTTGAGTGCAATAGAAAAAAAAAAAAAGACAATTTCCTGAGACTTCTCTGTGTTGCGCTTTTAATTCCTCCCCTCATTAGACTAGGGTTTCCCTCCCTCCTGAATGGAGGTGGATCCGGACTGATCTTCCCTGGCACTATTTCAATTGAACCTTTTTATTTTGGGTCACCTTATCTCTACATACATGATAAGATGTCTTTCAGTTTCTAGCCATCTCCTCAGTCTCTATGTCTTACCTATTTTTGGTCTTCCCTCATTGGATCAGAGACACCCTGAGTAACTGTGACACTTGGTGTATTAGTTTTCTGTTACTGGAGAATGGGAATGAATGTTGACATGGTGGATCAATCCAGGAATGCTTCCTTTCAGGTAGAAACTGTGCCTCTGATCCATTGTATGGAAGAAAACTGATGTTATCTCATTCCCCACTCCTGGGAGGAAAGCATCCAACTGCAAAACCAGATGTGGATACATAGGAAGCAGATTAGCATAAACCAGAGGAAAAGCTTTCCTGGTCATGATGCTTTCCAGACCATGCCGGGATATGCATTAGCATATAGTGGTCATAGCATTTCTGACATAGCAGCAGTGCACTGGCTTTGTCTGTAACAACACAATTATAGCACCCATAAATACAATGTGCGGAAAACTATTCAAATGCAATTGCAATTACAGAGAAGATTACTAAGTTACAAAAATGCAAAAGAGGAAATCTAATGCAGGAACTATGACTCCATAGGGTGCCACACCCATAGCTGAAAGTATATAAATGCCCCCGTTCAGGAGTGACATTCAAACTCAGAATCTTCTCACTGTAACTCAGCTGAACTCACACCTCCTGTCACCATGTCCTACAACTGCTGCTCTAGAAACTTCTCCTCCCGCTCCCTTGGAGGCCACCTGCGCTGCCCAGGCTCCTCCTGTGGCTCCTCCTACCCCAGCAACCTGGTCTACACCATGGACCTCTGCTCTCCCAGCACCTGCCAGCGGGATTCCTCTCTCTACAGTGGCTGTCAGGAGACCAGCTGTGAGCCTATCAGATGCCAGGCATCCGGTGTGGAGTCCAGCCCCTGCCAGCCATCCTGCTGCCCCCAGAGGACCTCCAAGCTCTGCCGTCCCTGCTGGACAACTTACCCTGTGTCTCTAGGCTTTAGGTCCAGCAGCTGCAGCTCTCTGAGCTCTGGATCCAGAAGCTGCTACTCACTGCGTTGTGGATCCAGTGGCTTCAGACCTCTGGGTTATGGAGTCTGTGGCTTCCCCTCCCTGAGCTGTGGATCCAGATTCTGCCGTCCAACCTGCTTTACCTCCAGCAGCTGCCAGTCATCGTGTTATAGACCAATCTCTAGCTCTGGTTTCTATTATTCAACTTGCTGAGGGTCTAGATCCTTCTGAGTATTGAGATCAAAGTCTCTGCTCAGTACAGCCATCTTTTTCCTTCTCACTACTTACCACTGTTCCTTTATTCTTAAATCACCAGTTTCTTGCATCACCAACTTTTGAGAAACTCTGAACTTCATAAATAACCCAATATTAAGTCCTGATATCTGTATCATTGAAAGAATCTATGCTATTGGATTTTCATGGAAGATCAATTGAAAGTGAAAATTTTAATCTAATAAATTTTTGTCATCTGGCACCCAAATACACTGTCTATCTTCTTATTATTTGCCTATAGTTTTTTTTTAATTCAAGATTTTTGGGAGATTTAAATGAAGATGAATATGACTCTGAAACTGGCTTTGGGAACACACATTTTGCTAGATTTGAGGAAACTTTTGTTGTCATTGGATATGTTCCCTACTAGGAGGAATTATTTCCTGGAGGTCGAAAATTTGTATGTCCCTATGTTAGTGACACTTGGCTAAGAATGGAGGCATGTATTGATTTCTGCTGAGGAAATCAATAAATAAAGGAAAACAAAACTACGAATGCAGGAAACAAGACTAGGATATAGTTTATAAGGTGAGGTCATATGTAGACCAAAAACATACCTATGTGTTTTGTGGAGATTTTCAGCTAAGAGACAAGATGAGCCTTAAACAGCTCGCAGGGCAGATGTGTTGCCCTCTGTTGGTTGGCGTGAGTGCTGCGATCCCTTCCTGCCAAGGCTGTGGCATTCCAAGCCTGACCTGTAAACTTATGTAAGGAGACCCACAGCGATCTAAGGTAGAGAGGAAGTGGTCTAAGGTGTGTGGTGACCTCCTGGTACTTCTCCAAGGCTCAGCTAAAATCGACCAAGAGCCACACACCTGAGCAGTGTTGAACAAACATGTGTAGTCATTAACCTTAGCCAAGATTCCTCTCTCCCCTAAAGCAGAGCTGAAGTCCAGGACTTGGGTACAGACAGTTTATTTGGCACAAGTTTGGGAGACTGTGGGAGATGAAAGAATCAAGGAGGAAAATCTCACACAGGGACATTTTTGAGGATTGATTCTACAGTGGACTATGGGGACTCAGTCCTTCAGGGCCTTTTTAGGAAGGTATAGAATGACAGAATTGCCCACCCCAAGGCAATCAACAGGGATGTGAATGAAAAATACGGCCAGCCATATCAGTAAACAAAGAACGCTGAAGCCATCAAGTCATCAGCCGCGGCCGCCACCCCCCAGGGAAGACAAGCCTGCAGCCCGGCCTCTGCAGCCGCTCACAATGGTGCACCCTGAGGGGACTCGGAATAAGAAAGGACAGGACACTCGCCCTAGATAGCTAGTGCTTGTCAAAGGAATGAATTCAATGAGCTCAAATATTCGCTTCCTCCCATACATAGAAAAGCACTAAATTCTTCAACTTGAGATGCCTGGTTTTCTTTAGTTAACAAGCAATCTTTTAATGTTCTGACTACCTGGTCTTTGTTATAAAAACTCCTATATATCCTGGCTGCTCCCCTACCGCTTCGGAGAAGTCCCTCAGAGCCACCTGGGAAGCTGTCACCCCAGGCTGAGTCTTCAGAATTTCCACCGAATAAAACATAACTCACAACTTTTAGGTTGTGCATTTATTTCATTCGACAAGGAGAAGCCCATTTATCCACCAGCTGCCATCTCCCATTGCTGGAATGTTGTCCCAGATGTGTGTTAACTTCCTGGGACCTCATTAATTGTGCAAAGAAAGATTCACTGTGGGCTCCTTTCGTTTTCCTGGCTGTAACCTCAGAGAAGCCCAGGTAGAGAGGAAAAAAAAATGCTGAATACGCTCGAGAGGAGAAACTGTCTGTGCGAAGAAGCTTGAAGCCTACAGGAAATTGTTGACCATAGCTGTGCCTGGGGTCATGCATAAGAGAATGAGAATGTAAGGGAAGGCACTAGGGCTACTTAATACAACCCTTGCATATGATGCTCAAACATCCGTGTGGGAAAGAGGAACATTATACCCTATAAACCTTTCCAGACATGAAGGAATGAAAAGTCAACAAGGATTAGAAGCTTGCCAAAGTTTATACATTAAAGATCTAGGAAAATCTCATCTCTTGAATTGATATTTTGTTATTCTTTCCTGATTTTTAAAAAAATATGCAACTCCTTGCTTAACCAAAGAGCTTTGAGTATTTCTGATGCGAAATAAACTGCTTTATCTGAAAAGACTTTAGCTCTTATTGGATCTAATTTCATTAGCCTCATGAGTAGTATTCATAATAAACAGTAAAAATAAAAATAAAATTTAGAGTTTAGTAGAAGAACACTAAAGAAAAGTGAGCTAATTTCTTCTGAAAACATTTGCATTAATCATAACACCTAATAACAGACCAAGAGAAATATTTGATTACCTCTCAGGAAGATTTTGCTAGAAGTTCTGAGTGTTATGACAAATCCTATATTATTGATGTTAATTATCATTATTAATGTCACTCATATATTCCCTTCCTCAATAACTAAACAAAAAAAGTAAAAAAAAAAAAAAAGCAAAAAAAAATTCTCTTTCACATTCACACGTACACAAATTCATTACCAGCAACCAAAAAACTGATGATGAGCTTCTTGTTAAAATTTTTAAAAAATTAAAAATAAACAAGAAAATGAAGATGACTAATATAACTTGACAGATTTTTATCTTCCCTTCGAATTCCCCCAACACACTTTGTCGTTCCTAGAAGATTTTCTCTGAAAATTAAAAAAAAAGGGGGGGGGGGAAATTGCCAAACTGTGACATCTCACTAATCTGTAAACTGCATTTCTATGTTGGTGAGTGAGATTGAAGGAACACAGAGTCAATCAGGATAAAATCATGGGAAAGTCTTTGAGTTGAGAAAAGTGGTATTATTGGGTGCAAAAGTAACTTAGTATGTAGAGAAAAGATTGATAATTAAGCATGGAAGAATGTGTCACCCAAACAAGAAATGGAAACAAATTCCCTGGATGTGCTTTGTTATGTAAAATAACATACTAATGGCATAAAACTAACATCACAAAGGCACCAGGATAACAGTAATACAAAAGTGGAAGAATGATTGATGAGGTAAGGAAAACACTGATTGCCAAAATAATTTACTCTGGGTATAAACAAAACAGTTTTAAAACTACAGCTTCTACCTTAATTAGCAGAATATTATAGCATATTTGGACACAGTAACAAGTTACGTGTTTACAACAATTACAACTGTATTTCTACTCCACAGGAATCTTACTTTATTGTTTTACCAGGATGTTGTCCTTCACCAAAATTTGTATTTTTATTTACTGAGACAACCAATAATTTTGTTAGGCAGTTAGATAAAAATGCTCACTGGGCAAGGGCAGAGGAAGGAGGAGGGAGCAACCCAGAAAATAACAGTACACCAGCACTCAGGGTAAGGGGCTCCAAAAACTTACTTTCTCTACATGAGGGCCAGCAACGAAGTCAGCTAGAATATAATGCTGCGGCTGCACAGTAGAGAGAAGGACCTGGCTTAACCTGACCCAATGCTCATTATAATTAGAATTAACATTTCAATTTGAGCCCCTCCCATAGATTTCTCTGTGTGCATCATGGGTAAGAACCTGCGTAAAAGAGATGGGCGTGCCTGAGCTCAAGAAATGTGAGCTGTCAATCAGCCTGAGCGCTCAAAGAACGTGAGCTGTCAATAATCAGTCACTGAAACGCCCCCTAAGCCAGGATGCAAGAACAGGAAAAACAAATGAGCGACACCGTTTTCCTCTCTTGGATTGCCCCCCAACCCCCGTTCTCAGGGATGTACGCTATTTTACTACCTTTTTACTTTACTAATAAAATCTTCTGTTTATATCACTCTCTCTGTCTCCCGTTAGAAATTCGTTTTTTTCGGGTGACTAAGAACCAAGGTAACTTTTATTCCCCTCCTTCTGGTAATAATTTTATCTTTGATGCTGAACTTTTTAAGGGATTTTATGGTTGACATTGTCAGATAGAGGAGCATGAACTTTCAATAGCTTTATTTGGATTCTTCGGACTGGATGAAGAAATCAACTTACTATTGGAATCAATTCATTTTTCTATTTGAAGCACTTGATAATACTGACATATTACTGGCTTCATTAATCCTTAGTGACGTTTTTCTTCACTAATGGAGGATCATATCATTAGCTACCGTTACTTATTTTTTTTCCTGCACAAGAAAACTTAGGATTTAACATGAGTGAAAATGATTTAGAGTAGTTATTTGACCTAAATTAAATGTATGCACCAGAGTGATATATTAACACATCTGTTGCAGCTGCTCATAATAAATACTCATCTTTGGAAGTAATCATCTTACAATTTCTATCTTTTGGAGTAGATACCAATGCTTCTTTAGCAAAACTGTCTGTTACTTTTCACTTCTTTAGTGATATTTCTGACCCCCACAGTGGATAGGAAATGTCATCAAACTGTTGTACAAGTTATATATTCACCATCAACTTTCTTTTGTAGTAGAAATTCAGTATTCATTTTTTTTTCATTGAATGTGAACTTTTAGTTTTAGCTCATTGCTCCTAAAAATACTTTTTCTTGCAAAATTTAAAGAAGGTAAGATGTTCTGAAACAATAAAATAAATGACTGTAGGTTTAAATGATACAATATGTGGCCAAGCCCCAGTAGCAAAAGCATTTAGATTATTTTTTATATGCTGTGTGCCACCCTCAATTTTATGCCCGTATTTCATGTACACCTTATCACTAATTCTAAATTCCCCACTACCTCCACCTGCTGGTAGCTTGGTGTATATTACTGCTTCTTGCAGGCTGTGAAAAGAGCCATCGCAGTACTGGCTAAATTAGAACAAATGACCCTCCATCAAGATTTGAAGTGTGAACTGTCCTACCACTTGCATGTGAGTATGATTTGTTTTTCAGTGATCCCTCTGCAATAAGAGCAGTAGTTCTATTTTGTTCAAGAAGGATGAGCAAAGAAAGGATGGGGTACGGCTTGTCTTCTTTCAGATTTAACACTGATTAGAGACTCTGTTCACTGTACGAGTTTCATCCTCCATGAGATGAAAGAGTAGCAAAAGCAAAGTGGAGGTTTTCCTAAACCAGTCCACACTTACGTTAATTCAATTATTCACTTCAAGTGAAAATCTAAGACGGTTACCAACTGGACTGGACGCTGAGACAAATGGAATAAACCAAGACATATGGTTACCCTGCGGGGAAGAATCTAGGTCATCTGTATCTTTAGTAACGTTGTCCTTGACTTAATGGTTAAAAGTTTGGAGTATAACTGCTGATTCAAGGGTTATCAGCTGCCTAAATATTTTGTTGAATCTTGTAACAAGAAAATATTTGCACCATTTTTGAGTTTTGTTTTCTTCCCCCCCCCAAACTATTGCTGTCAACAGAACAACTGAAAAAACAGGAGCAATTGGAACTTCATCAAATGTATGCAACAAATTATATGAAAAATGTTGAGCCTACTTGCTAATAAGTGTTGGAGTGTGTTAGATATTTCATTTATAAATCAATTAGAAATTTAATTTGAGTTCTTATATGACAGTAAACCTGGGGGAGCTGGAATTCTCACCAAATCTAACTCTCTAATTTCTTACTGAATATCCTCATTCCAAATTCTCAAATATTTTAGGATATATTTTATGGGTAATCATCCTTCCAAATTTAAGTGATATAATCAATTTAATATATCTTACAATTTATAATTATTTTATATAAACATATTCTAGCTTCCAATTCCCTACAGAACAAAAGATCATAGTTATTTTTTCTAGTCTTAAAATTTATTTTTAGCTTTTATCATATGAAGGTATTAACAGATGGAGTAAACATGAAAGATGAAATGATTTCTTCCAAACCTCAATGATACTGAAGAATTTTACTTTTTAAATAAATTTTTTCCAGTGATGAATACAAGATATGGAAATATCTAGCCAGATAATTAGAAGTCATTTTGAAGACACAGAGAAAACAAAATGATATTAAAGCAATTATGTGGATATCATATGACATATTTTTATTTAAACTTACATTTTTTTCTACTAGTAAAATTTGAAATAGAGACATTAGGGAAAATAAGTAGGAGAAAGAAATAGGAAATAAATGTGCTTCAGTGTCACATGTCTGTGTAAGTACAAGGAAGAAGTTTTGACATCTTTCTTTACTGATTGCATTTCCAGTTACTGGTATTCAAATTATTCCCAATCTATAATAGATTACACTAGAAGTCAAATTTGTAAGCTAACAGTAGGACAGGAGACCAATAGATAGTATAGATCTTGATATAGGAGATATTGCATCAAATTTCTAGATACAGTCGGTGTTGTTTTCAAGCATAAGATTAGAAGAAGCCAGATCTAAAGATTGGTTGGAAAGAAGCAGGCTGCCAGCTCCTAGAAGAGAAGTAGTTTGGACTGTCAAAGCTGGATCTCCATCTTACAGATGAGAAAGCCCTGGGGCCACAACCCACTGATTGGAAACCACTGGATCCAAAGCCCAGAGACGGGAAGCCACAACCAAAAGATTGAAAACCTCTGGAGCCAAAGCCCAGAGACCCAGAGTAAGTCGTCTGCCAGGGACGGCAGAGCGTGGAGGTCTTCCAGCGGTAGCAGGATGACTGGCAGGGACTGGACTCCACCTGGAACGTCTGGCACCTGATAGGCTCAGAGCAGATCTCCTGACAGCCGCTGTGGAGAGAGGAGTCCTGCTGGCAGGTGCTGGGAGAGCAGAGGTCCGTGGTGTAGACCAGGTTGCTGGGGTAGGAAGAGCCACAGGAGGAGCCTCGGCAGCGCAGGTGGCCCCCAAAGGAGCGAGAGGAGAAGTTTCCAGAGCAGCAGTTGTAGGACATGGTGACAGGAGGTGTGAGTTCAGCTGAGTTACTGTGAGAAGGATCTGAGTTTGAATGTCACTTCTTGGACTGGGACGTTTATATACTCTTTCACTGGGGATGTCATCCCCGTGACTCATAAAAACAAGTTATCTTCCTCTTTTTAATTGAATTGAAGACAGCAGCATGGTTATGCATACTTAGTTTCTGTGGTTTTATAACTGGAAGGTGCAGTCATGTTTGTGCCTTGGAATTCAGGTAATAGTGTTGAATCTTCAAAGCTGTTAGTCATCTTTCTCTACCAGAGGTCACCGAGCAGATCACTCAGAGAACTACATTAGAGGTAGACAATGTCTGGGCTGAGGGAAGCTGGCTTAATTAAAAATAATTGATATCTCTTTCACAATCTGTCTCAAAATTATTGCCACCTGGATAGCAAAGTTGCTAACTCACTGATCTACGCATCGTCATTTCTTTTAAACAAAAAACATGCATTGATTGTTACCAGGAAGTGGCAAGTTTACCTAATGGATAGAGCTATCAGGAAGCAACAATGGTAACATGCAAGATGCCTGAGGATTTCTTAAATCGGATCTCAATTTTAAGGGCTTTAGTGAAATAGTAACTGAGAGATTCCTTTATTTCTGATGCTCCTGCTTAAAACCGTGTGCAAACTAGGAGTCAATCTTAGCTTTTCTCTCCCTTGTATGTGTGTGTTTACTGTGGAATGAGTTAAATATTATAAATTGCTTTATGTTATTTTGGAATGTAAGAGGTTATTCATCTAAGATTCCAGGGAAAAACATGAAAAATAAGAACAAAACGTATGGCAAAAATGCCCAGTGTATTTCTCTCTTTAATCAGAAGCAAAGTTTACTACTAAAAGAATTTTCCAGAATCTGGAAAATGCCTTTGTTTTAAAGAAAATTTATAAAGTAATTGCCTTGAGTTTTTGGACCAAAAGAACCATCTTAAGGAGATTCTTCATTTGCCTCAGAAAGCAAGATACATCGCTTTGACTTTAATTGTTTTCAAGTGTTTCTGACAAATATTACAATATTTTAAAAATAAAGGTAATTTTGGGTTGTTTTATTCCACCTCTAGGTGGTGAGGTAATGAAGATTGACACCTTGAAGAAGAGGAAAGATTGAGAAAGTTTATCTCTCTGTGGCTTCTGTGCTGTTTGATTTATTCATTTCATAAAAAAACATTTTCCTTGCACTTCTGAACAAATGCATTTGGGTGCAAAAGCCTCCATTTTGTGGAGAAAAGAATGTTCAAAATTACTTAATATCTGATTTCATAGAATAGTCTTCCACAGAAATAGCTTATATAAGAGTGGATGACTAGATAGGCAAGCACATTCAATTTAGATGAGTTAAATATTTATATTGGCAAATATTAACTACTGTATATAAAAATAGATAAAAATAAATTTCTTCTGTATACCACAGGGAACTATAATTCAATATATTGTAATAACCTTTAATGAAGAAGAATATGAAAACGAATATATGTATGTGTATGTATAATGGGGACATTATGCTGAACACCAAAAACTGACACATTGTAACTGACTATACTTCAATAAAAAAGTAAAAAATAAAAATAAACAACATGTTAGACACTCATTTAACATCTCTACCAATTAGGGATTGTAAGTGGGTTATTTCGTCTATAAGGTCTACAAGATTCAGGAGATGGAACAGATATTGAGATATTGCTTGTTTTCTGTTCTCCATTGTGCTCCTAAACTTGGAACAAAATAAGTGTCCCCACTCGAGACTACAAAATATTCTTCAGAGCTTTTAAACACAACAGAATCCTCACTTTGCTACCCATTCAATAGAAGGCCTTGAAGGACAGGATGAATGAAACACCAGACTCATGGGTACAATTATGCTTCACCTACAGTCATCTCCCCAAGCCAGATGAATGAGAAATGACATTTTTGCTTCATGAACAATTGCTTTGAAAAAGTAATGAAATTCATTTAAAAGTCTGCATTCATAAAAAGGGTCTTTGAAGGTTAATGTATTTCATTTTGGCTGGAGCCTAATGAAGCATTCTTATTAAAATGGGCACGTGCTGTTACAGCCACCGCTGGAGTTTATAAGTGTTGAGTGTAGGAGGTAACGTTCACACTCAGAACATCCGCCTGCAACTCAGCTGAACTGAGAACTCCTGACAGCATGTCTTTCAACCGCAGATTTGGAAACTTCTCCTCCCGCTCTCTCGGAGGTTACCTGGGGTGTCCAGTTTCTCCCTATAGTTCTTTCTACCCCAACTTGTTCCAGCTGGGCTCCTCTCTCCAAGGTGGCTGTTGGGAGACCATCTCTGAGCCCACCAGCTTCCAGAATCCCTTTTCCATAACTAGATCCTGCCGGACATCCCGCTTCCGCCCAGAGAACTTTATCTTCCGCGGTCCCTGCCAAACAAATTGCACTGGATCTCTAGGATTTGGAAATACCAGCTTTGGGTCTTTCGGTTATAGAAATCCTGCATTCTAGTCTCTGGGCTGTGGATACAACTTCTGCTGACCAACTTACTTTTCTTCCAGGAGTTTCCACTCATCACGTTACCAACTAGCCTTTAGCTCTCGCTCTTCTTAGATCAACTTACTGAATATCTCCCATGACCTCATGGTTATGTCCACACTTTATGAAACTTTTTAACACTCAGCCTCCTCAACATTTATGATTACTGACCGTCTTCATCACCAAGACTCACCATCACAGTCCTTCTGGAAGTATATGATTCACCAGGGACAGAGTGGCCTGTGACCTTTTCTAAATCAGACATATGAGATATACCTTGACTTCATTCCTATGCCAATGCTCAAAATCACTTCTGTTACTATTTAAGATTCCTCTCCTATTTTTCTCCTAAGATTCTTTCACTTAAGTGTATTTCAAATAGATATGGCATTTAAAATAAACTTATTTATTTAGCATAAATTATGGTATTCCGTTTTCTTTTATTCACATGGTACATTTAGTGACTGCATCCAATATCTTCAACTGTCTTAATTTGGTAAACATTTTGTTGTTGTTGTTTTCTTTGTTTCATATGTTTCATTTTTATTTTGCTGGGTAGAAAAGGGAAGTTTAGAGAATCCAAATAGATGGCATATCTCATGTCTTAAGAGATTTATAGCCCCTCCTAGGTGAATTTGTTTATTAATTGCTTTAGAAAATTTTGTTTTTAGGTGGGTATTCATTGAAAAATGTTTACTGAGTTCTGATTATAGACCAGACATTGTGCTGAGTAAAGACATGAATTCCTTGCCTTCATGGAGTTCACACACACACACACACAATTTTAACTCACTGTCATGTAGCAAGTGTAATAATGGTGATAAAAACGATTCAATGGGAACACAAAGTACAAGGGCTTCAAAAAAGAGTTAAGGATACCACTTGAAACTTATTGACAATAGTAGGAGTGAATTACCACTTCATATAAAAAAGTAATCTTGCTGATCTAATGTGTTAGTTGCAGTCCTTTGAGAAATAGCTGCCAACTAGGATATGACATGAAAGATATATGTTGGGGAAAATACCTGTCAGTGAAAATGGTGAGGTAGCTGGAGAATTATGGGAGAGCCATCAGACAACGATGCAGGTCTGAACTCAGTGAAGGAGAGAGGGAGGGAGGGAGGGAAGGAAGAAGGAAGGAAGGAAGGAAGGAAGGAAGGAAGGAAGGAAGGAAGGAAGGAAGGAAGGAAGGAAAGAGGGAAAGAAGGTTGGTTGTGTTAGAATAATCTTCAGGGACGTTCCAAGACAGTTTTGGTAAGTCACCCATTGAAGGAGTCCCTTGTGTCATGAAGACAGACCTGCCTGAGTATCAGTCACTAACAAGGCACAACATGACCTTGGCATAAATGTGATGGTAGCTTGAAAGACTGGGAGCTGCAGCCCTGTGCTTTATGTTCCCTGCAGAGGGAGATTTGAGAGCTACATTTTCATAGCTTCCATGCTCATGAAATATATTCTGATTTCAAGTAAGCTGATATACTGATAAATAGTGAAATAATAAATGAAAATAAACTTTTCTGTGAATTAAGGTCAATATACTTTATTTTACTTTCGTTGATCAAGAAACAAATTGCTGTATCAGACTCACTCAGTGAAAGTCTAACCTTACAACCAAACGTGAGAAAGAATTGAGAACTATTGGGTAGCCATCTTTGATTTTAAATGTAACGGATGTATTGGACCCACAAGGGCAAAATTAGGAAGTTGCTTCACTTTTCTCCTGCTACTGAACTTCACAGTTGACCTGAAGGTTCTTACTTCCCTGAATTTCTGAGCAATATCATGGGCAAGACCTATGATCACACTAAGATACTAAGAGACATTTTCATTTCATATTAGGAGTTAAGTCCAATCCAGTATAAATTAAAAACCAGTCATCTAGCCATATTAAAGTTTCTTCCTTTTCCCTCTGTTCAAGGCTGGTCATGTTATTCCATAGGTCACCGGTGGCTTAGAGGGGCCTGATCATTTTATTTACCCTCCTTGTCTTCCATCAATGTTCTGCTCCTGGCTTCTTCTATTCAAGCCAAAGAGAAGGGTTGGGAGGAGAGAGAATGATGACTGGGGCCACCTGTCTCATCTGACAGCTTTAGACCACCTGAGTCAACATTAATTGGTTGTTTCAGGAGACTTTTCCTGGAAAAAGGTGAGATTAAAGCAATAAATCATTTCACTGTATGCTTCAGGAAACTCCTATAGATTAACTTATTGGATATAATAGTCTGTAGACCTGAAAAACACCTCCCTAATTAAGCAATGGTTAATTTATCCAGAGGCTCCATGTCAGTACCCTCTCTTTGCTTTGCCCATTGATTCTAAACTATCAGGTAATAAATTTGCACAGTCCCAATCAATTGTATGCCTTGAAGCCATTTGACCTCAGGACCTCACTTCTAACACCTGATTTTTGGAGACACAGCTAAATCTTTGGATGCAGTGGTACTTCCCCTCCATGCTGGAAGTTTGGATATCCTTCATTTTGCTTCGTTAACAGATTGGTGATATTCTGAGGCGTTTAAAAGGCACATAGAAAGTCTTTTCACTGAGCTAGTCATAAGTG